ACGGGCACGTTGAAGGCCCAGTGTGCTTCAGGAAGAAAGTCTTCACACCCTCTAAAAAAATGAATGGGTGTGAAAACTTATATGACTCCTAATAAAACTTCAGAAGGAGGCAGCAGAAGGGATATTGGCATGTTGAGTCCTCTCCAAACCCACCACGTTTGTGAATCCGAGCGTTCTGATAGGACTAGGGATGGAATTAAAATCTCCATTTGTGGATTTGGTTGTGACTTATTATTTGTCAGATGGACCTTGTCGTCGTTGTTGTTGTTTTGTTTTCTGTGACCAGTCGCTCTAATTCTGCATTAATGTCTCCTGCTTTTGCCATTGCTCTAGAATATCAGTAACACTAGCAGATCTCCAAGTAGGTTCTGTTATATTGCACCTAAAACTTAACAGCTTGGCCCAAATCGGAAATTCACAAGATGAATGACAACTTAAGTAAAAGCGTTATGTACTTGACAGCAACAAAATTTTCCATTACAAATACCATTTTTACTCTCTTTTAATTTAAAAAAAAAAAAAAAAAGTGCCTTGAGGGGGCTTTGAATTTCTCAGCCTCCCAGATCAAAGATTTCTTTAGCTGTCTGAATTATAGGAATGCTGAAAAACAAAAACAAACTCTTTTCCTGCTATAAAGTCCTTGCCATGTTTTTGTCTTGATGTAACTCAAAACGGCTGACCTGAAAAATGAGGTTGGCAATTTCTGTTCAAAGCCTAAGAATTCATCAGAAACAGAGTGAAGAATTATTTTGAAAGTGTCGTTCTAACTAATCTAACCCAAGAATAAATTTCACTAAATTCTTACTCAATGATCCAGAAAATTGCTAAGTGACTTTTAGAATAGAACAACTCGTGGCTGTGGATATCAAGATGTTTTACATTGTTTGTTAAAACGATTCAGGACTACACTGCAGTCATTTGGGCTGGGAGGTGGCGGCCCGTGTGTTCTGCCTCTGCTCCCACACACGCCCTTGGCTCCATATGTGTTTCCTGGCAGCACGACTGGCGAACAGTACGCTGCTTATTCCAAAGGCTTTTGCAGAAAGCATCGATGCTCGTTGTAAAGCAATGGTCCGTAGTCCTAAATTTGCTGATGTTTTTGGTATGAGGCCTGACCTTCAGGATACAAGGAAAAAAACTGCTTTTAGCAGGGGGGGGGGTGTCCTTAGCTTATTGGTCATCTGGTGTAACACAGTCTGACACGTTCTGCTCTGTGGCTAGGGAGATGCCATTACGCCCATAGGAATAAGAAAACTAGATGGCAAATATGGTGTCAAGTACATGTCCTTGTGCCTGGCTCAGGGGATCACTGGCATTTGAGAGTCAAGACATTTTGCATATCTAAAAGGCCATTTGCTTCCACTTTCTTTGCATGTTACCTTTAAAATGTTTAATAAAGTTCCTTTTTATAATTATTAAAAAGGAAGGCACTCTAGCCCGAGCAGGCTTGGCTCGGCAATTGGAGTGTTGGCCCTCGAACCAAAGAGTTGCAGGTTTGATTCCGGTTGAGGGCACATACCTCGGTTGCGGTTGGGTCCCGGCCCTGGTCAGGGTCATGTGGGAGGCAGCCAATCAATGTGTCTCTCTCACATCGATGTTTCTCTCTGTCTCTCTCTCCCTCCCACTCTATCTGAAGATAAATGGAAAAATATCCTCAGATGTGGATTTAAAAAAGGTGGGGAGGGGCACTCTAGAGAAAAATTGGGAGACTGGACAAAAGTCAAAAGTATAAATGTAAGAGTTTTTTTAAATCCCACAATTTGCATTTGCTTTGTCAATGTACATTTTATTACATTTGCTTCATGAATATATATTTATGTAATTGAGATCATGCTGCATACAGAATTTCTGTGTTTTTTTTTTCTTGAAAACATCCATTTTCTCATGTTACTCCTAAGTTCTGTCCCCTCAGACTTCATGAATGCGGAGTATTCTATCATGGGATGTATGTTTTACAGCCATTTGGAGACATTCAAGTTGCTTCCAGTATTTGCTATCATAAATAATTCTGCAATTCACATCTTTATACATAAAACTTTCTGAATATTGCTGTACTGGACAAAGACTTTAGGTTGCAAATCACAAAAAAATAATTCATCCTGGCTTAAGCCGGAAAGGAACCGTGTCGGCTTGCACAGCTAGTAAGCTGGGGTGGGGACCGGCTTCAGGCACTGCTGGACTCAGTGGTGTCTCTAGCTTCCTTCCGTCTGTCTCCTGCACCAGCTTCCCTCTGTGCTGATTTTATCTAGGCCTGCTCCTTTACATCCTCACCGCAGGAAGACAGCAGCTCTCTCCTGATGTTTCCAGAAAAACGTCCCACCAATAAGGCTCACAAGCATGACAGGTCAAACACCCGTCCCTGAGCCAGCCACGGGGTCAGGGTGAGGGAATGTTCTGGTTGGCCTACAGGGCATCCCTGCTCTCTCCACCTCACTCCACATCACCCGGGCACTGCACACCTGGACTCTTCGCTGTTCATTGAACCCAACAGCCTGGGCTTCACCCAGAGCTACCGCTCTTGGTCCCCTCTGCCCCCGTTGTGCCCATGGCTTGCTGCCCACTCACTTCCTTCAGTCCACACTCGGGACCACTCCTGGTCACCTCTCCACTCTGCCCTCTCTCCCTGCTCTGTTTCTCTTTATTGACGTATTACTCTCTGCTTTTCATTCATGTGGTGTGCACATGAGTGGTTTGCTCCTTCCATGGAACCACGAGGGCTGACACTGCCGCTCTGCCCTACACTCGTGAAATTCATCCACCGAGTTAATGAATGAGTTAGCCAGGCCACGTACGTACTCATCTGTAGGGTAGCCTACACGAAGGACAAGAGATGCTTGAGGGACTGGTGTGATTCCCCAAAGAAAGTGGGTGGCCATCCCCCCAACACAAGGGCTGAATGTTCACTGACGAAAACATTGACGCCCACTATAAATTCAGGTCTCTTTCTAAAGCAAATTCCCAGGAGTGGGTCTTCAAAGGATATGAATGTTTGGGGTTTCTCGACAGGTACTTTAGCTCCCTTTAAAAATAATCATTCTCATCTGGCCAGTGTGGCTCAGTGGACTGAGTACCATCCCATGGACTGAGTGGTCCCAGTTGGATTCCCCATCAGGGCACATGACCGGGTTGCAAGCTTGATCCCCAGTAGGGGGCGTGCAGGAGGCAGCGGATCGATGTTTCTCTCACATCCATGTTTCTGTCTCTCTCCCTTCCTCTCTCTCTGAAATTAAAAAAAAAAAAAAACTATATTAAAAAAATTATCATTCTCAAATGCAGACCCTATCATGACCCTCCCCAGCTTAAATCTGATAGCTCCCCATCACACAGTGAATAAAAGAAGTCTACCCTGGTGCCTTAGGCCCAACATGATCGTCTCAGGATCCAGCTCGCTGACTTTCTCCTCTGCCCTGATGGAACCCACTCCCTCTCGTCTCAGGACCCCCATTCCTCCCCGTCCCTCTCTGCCTAGCCGGCGAAGAGCAGATCTCCCTTGACCCCGCCTACTCTCTCTGATTCAGCCCTCGGCTCGTGTCCAGCGGCAGGCCCTCCTCGCCACTGGAGCAGCACTGCCCTCCTTGCTTCTCCAGCCAGCGTGGGTGTATTTTATTCCCAGTACTCGTCACACTTTCCATTTCCCTTACTGACTCTCTGAGGCCCTTTTCTCACTGTCCACGCCTAGTTCCCCAAAACTCAGAACTGCTACCTGGCATATCAAAGGCCTTTAATACATTTTTGTTGGGAACAAATGAACAAATTGCTCTCCAAGAGTGCTGTAGGGATTACTGCCCCATCAGCACTAACAATGCGCATTTCATCTCATCTCTCACTGAAGCAATTTTCTTAGAATACAGCTCAAGGGGTGGAAGTTCTTTGGATCCTCACTGCATGGAACCCGGAGGGGAAGCAATAGGCTGTTTTCTAACAGATACTACTCCCGTTTGAACAGAGGTCCGGCACAGACTGTGACAGCCTGGTATATTACAACAAGGCCCCAACAAGATTTTACTTTCTCATCTAATTTAAGTTAAAAAAAAAAAAGATTCCTTCTTTTTTTTCATCCTCACCTGAGGACATTTTTGCATTTATCCTCAGAGCGGGAGGGAGAGAGGGAGGAAGAGAGAGAGAGAAACATCCATGTGAAAGAGACACATCGAGTGGTTGCCGCCCACATGACCCCAACTGGGGCCAGGGAGAAACTGCAACTGAGGTATGTGCCCTTAGCAGGAACCGAACCTGGGACTCTCCGGACCTCAGGCTGATGCTCTAACCGCTGAGTCAAACCAGCCGGGGCAAAAGATTCCTTCTTGTTGCAACTGGACTCAAGAGAACTTTCAAAAAATGCTGTATTTAGTAAAAATTAATAATCAGCTCAAGTTTTTGGGATGCAGATGGACATTGTTTCTGTGCATTCTTAGCCCAAATTATCCAATTGTGTTAGTGCTTTAATTTATAGGATCCTCTCTGATCTATTAATTGTTGACATTAGTGTGTGTATATTTTATACATTAATTTTTTAAAAGAACTTCAAATTTTTAAAAAAGTATTGCAAAAAGAGTTGATCTATATAAAAAGTATTTAATAATAGAGAACATCAAAAGCACCTTTCACCAGGTAAAGGTCCCTATGACATATATCAGATTAAACTAATCAAATCTCCCTTTACCTAAAAAGAATTTCTGATTAAATATAAAATAATACACTTCACGCCCCCACCTTTTCCTGACAAATCTTCAGCATCACTTAATTTGGGGATCACAATTCAGCAAAATAATGATTGTGTTCTTCAAAGGAAAATAGCTAATACAAAATTTTCTAGTTCAAAAACAGCACCAATGAAGGAAGGGGATATGTCTTTGAAGTACAAAGTCCCTAAACAAGTAATTTAACAAAGTTCATGCAAAGTAAACTCTGAATGGTTGGTTTTTACAACTCTCCTGCGATCTGGAGTGGAAAATGCAAGAAAGTAACAAGACAAAGCAAAACAGTAACTTTGAAGACTCGAAAGACACACACACACACACACACACACACACACACACACACACACGCACTTTCTGATAGCGCATGTTCCTTGTTTTCTGCCAGCTGCATCACCAGTCGGGGACCTCAACCACGAAGGGCGTTTTCACGTCTATCTTGCCACTGTTCACGACGGAGCAGTCGGTGAGAGGACGGTCGTGCCCATCGGTTGCCTGAAGTTCTATGGAGTGGACCACGGTCTGGGGAGAGGAAAGGAGAGCCGTGGTTCACTTCTGACCGGCAAGTCCGGCAATCGAAACGTGAAATCAATGTCAAGTCTAAATGCCCAAGTGGGAGGTAAGTTTGTGTGTGTGTGTGTGTTTTCTATGATTACAGAACCATGCAAGCTAACCATGGAAATCTTAGAACATTCAGAAAATGTATATGTAACATAATAAAATTTACCCACTACCTTGCTAATTAAAGAACATATTTACATATTTCCTCACTTCTTTGTATAAGCATTTTATTTTTTAAAAAAATTAGATGTTGTTGTAAATACCTACCTCTAATAAAAGGTATTTCCACTCACTTGTTACAACCCTAAGTAACAGTTAACATGGAGCCTGAGCCCTTTTCAGCTCCACCTGTCATAGGTCCAGGCACCATCAAATGGGCCGGAAAGCAGATTTAGAAGTGGAGCTCATTCGGGTTTGTCCGTTTTAAAACTGAACCAAGCCATTAACCCATAGGTTGAGTCCAACCCTAATGTGACCCCAATCCCACAGTGTACAGGCCCCTTTCTCTACCACGGGAGATTGTACAGGCCCATGTACCACCTCGTGTCGCGCTGAAGGAGGGAGGACTGGCCAGGGACTGGGGAAGCTGGCTTCTGGTGTTTCCCAAGCACGGTTGACACAAAAGTAGCAACACAGTGTCTGAGTGCCTTGCACGTGGTGACAAACACTGCAACTTCCGCTGACTTAGATCAATTTAAGATAAAAGGCCAGCATTCTTCTAATATATGTTTCTAAATAGACTGTGTGCATACCCATGTGTACCTAAAGCAGTGACCACACATCCGAATTACCTGTGGCACTTTAAAAAAATGCTTATTTAATGGTTAGAATAGAAATTGCCATGGTATGTATATTTTGCCACAATTTTAAGATGCTTATTTGTGGGCCCATCTCTGGAGGTTCTGCTTCTATACCTCTGAGGTGAGGTCCAGAGATCATCCGGGTTGCTTTGTTAATACAACCCAGGTCATCTCTGGAGAATCAAGGGATGGAATTCAGGAGATTCTCTAAATTCCCTGAAACTGTATAAAACATACACATACTTTTCTTTTTTCTTTCCTGGAAAGAAAGTCTATGGTCTTCATTCGTTTCTCAAAGAAGTTTATAACCCATAAAATGTTAAGGACTGTTGCCCTGAGACCAGGCAGCAGGTCTCCCAGGAGGCATGGCAGTGGACAGAAGGAAATTGTTGCTGCAATTCGGGCAACAAGACCTAAGATCTAGAGGACTAGAAGAAAAACCATGACCAGAAGAAGAACACCCAAAACTTGTACTCTTCGGTTTTCTTACAGCTTAGCTGATGTTGCATTAATAAATATTCATTCAATGGATGAACGAATCAGTTTACATCGAAACTATTTAGAACCTGGTAAGCCCAATGGTCCAAACCCAGACTTATCTGACACAGGCGTGCCCGTGTTCAGCTCATTTCAAAAGCAAAGTTCAATAAGAGACGTGAGGGGAGCTGGCGTTCGTTATCCTTTAAGGCTAGATTCTTTTCAGGACAATTACAGCTCATGAGAATATAGGCATGTCCTTGATGTGATGGGATGTAAAGTGAGATATTCAGTGATATGTATTTGGCCTATTTCTTTCTCATCCCACTGCTAATGAGAATTCTATCTTTGATGATGCAGGTTGGGCACTTCCTGTCTTTGCAAGGGAGACTCTGAGTTGGCCAGCTCATTTTCTGGCTTTCCATTGGATAGAATCAGAATAGTGGGTGGAACCCTGCCAGTGTGGCTCAGTTGGTTGAGCTTCATTCCATGCACCAAAAGACTGCTGACCTGATTCCCAATTCCTGGTCAGGGCACATGCCTAGGTTGTGGGTTCAATCCCCAGTAGGGGGTTTGCAGGAGGCAGCTGATGGATGTTTCTTTCTCTCCCTCTCCCTTCCTCTCTCTCTAAAAATCAATAAAAACATATTTAAAAAAAAAAAAAAAAAGAATAGCAGAAGTTGTGGGAAACTTGCAATGCATGATATCGGTTTATTTACCTCTGGATGGGGGAGTGAGTATAACAACTCACATGAAAACAAAACAAAATGAAATATGAGAGAAGACAAGGATGGTCCAGGCTTGGGTTGGGCAGACCTTACAACTGCCAGTCCAGGCGTTGAGAGTTACTTTGGGTGGTTGCTAAGGAGGGGAAATATTGAAAGTGGGAAAGAATAAAGATCTTAAGATGTGTTCCTACAGATTATGAACTGTACACCTTTGATATTTTTTTGAGACAGCAGCATAAATTTAAAATCTCTTTAGTAATTTTGGATGCTACGTATTATGTGTCTTTAAAGGTGACTTCTGTCTGGACTAAAATGCATGGGTGCTAGGATTTTTTAAATTGTATTTTTAATTGTGGTAAGAAACACATAACATAATATTTACATCTTATCCATTTCTAAGAGTACAGTTTGGTACTGTTAAATATATTCACACTGTAGTGCAACTAATCCCCAGAACTTTTGCATCTTGCAAAACTGAAACTCTATACCCGCTGAACACCAACTCCTCCTCCTCAGAACCCCCGGCAGCCACTATTCTACTTTGTGTTTCTATGTTTTTGACTTCTTTAGATGCCTCATATAAGTGGAATTATACAGTCATTTTATGACTGGTTTATTTCAGTTAACATAACATTCTCCAATTTCATCCATGTTGTAGCATGAGACAAGATTTCCTTCTTTTTTATGGCTGAACAATATTCCATTGTATGCGCACACAGGGTCCTGGTTTCATTTGGTTACATTAAAATGAGTTTCTAATTATAAGTAGTGAGCTATATTAGCTTAAGTACTCAACTTCCATGTCAAGTCCTCAGCTTCTGCCCCAATGCTCCTAACAATTAAAACACCATTCCACTTATAACTGATTCACCTTTGAAGAGGCCAGTCAGCATATAATGATGGATCGCTAACAAGCACATCTTAAGGTTCAGATAAGTCATCGAAAGTGCTCTCATTATAAATATAAAGCTTTGAATGAGAAAAATAATGCATCAAGTTACCATTCCATCAATGACTTTTCCAAACACCACGTGCTTGCCATCCAACCAGGAGGGCTTGGTCAAGGTGATGAAGAACTGAGAGCCATTGGTGTCGGGCCCGGCATTGGCCATGCTGACCCACCCGATGCCATAATGCTTCAGTTTGAAGTTCTCATCTGGAAAAGTCTCACCATAAATGCTTATACCTGGGGAGACAGAACAAGAAAGAAGAGAATCAACAGATGTTATATAAAAGTCAGTTCTTCAAAGGGAAACAAGGTTTTAGTAGAACTGGTAAATAGAGCCTGATAAGAGCGGGAAATGGGGAAAAGATGGTAAAATATAAGGAGAAGTGAAGGACAGCACAGAATTAACTCCTTCCGGAAGCAGAGCATCAGGGTCTGAAACAAACACAAAGTCTTAAATCTGACACAAGATGGCAGGATAGCCTCTGGCCTCAAACCAAGGCCCGAACCCTGACCAAGCCGCTCAGTGATTTCACTGTGAAATGAGCAGGAACTAAAGGGCAGGGTGTCATCGTAAAGCCAGACTGAAAGGTGGAAAAGCCATCCTCGTGGTTCAGGGCCCTTGCCCTGGGTCACTCCTACCGCAGCATCCAGACAGGGCACACGAAGCACTTAATAAACACCCTTAGCTAATTCTCAGAGCAATCCTGTCTGCAATGAGGAGCCCAGCTTACAAGACTTGAAAACGGCAGGACAGAACTTAGCCATCTGGCTCTCTGACTCTAAGGCAGGTGTACTCTGCTGCCTCAGCACTAAGAGCAGTGGCGGCCAGCCTGGAAGTCCTCAGGCACAGTGACGTCAGGGCTCGTCAAAATACAGAGGGTGATGGCAATTGGGAACACGCAGTGATCCAACCTTGAACAGAAGAACCAAAAGCAGGCACGTGGGCTGGAGTTCTAGCAAAGCAGCAGATGGAGCAGAACACATTTTCCCCATAAAACAGTACAGACCACGAGAAGTGTATGTTCCCTCCTCCAACACCTTGAGTGCCTGTCATGCTCACCTGCTCCCCGTCTGCAGGGCTCCTTGTCCCTCGGCTCAGTGAGGAGGACCAGAAGTGGATATCACAGGCAAGCACTATATGGCCGGTTGGTCAGTGACATATGAGGTGACCTGGCAGGACAGCTCTGCCCACAGAGGAGTCTAGGCTAAATTAAGCGATCCACAAGGTCCTATCTCCAGAATTCAGGGAATCTGACCTAAAGACGTGTGTGCACACACTTGCACACACACATGCACACACACTCTGGGCAGGGGAGGCAGAGAGGGAGAAATGTAGAAAAGGAAACAGTAAAGCTCAGTCACTATTCCTGCTGGGCCCAAGGGCAGGACAGCGGGATGTTCGTCCCGAGGGGACTGGCCCTTGAGCTGCAGGCTTTCCCAGTGAGTCCCAGCTCTGCCGCAGCTCGGATTGTTCCCCGCTCATCCTTAGCCACCCCGTTCATCCAAGTTACCTGCTCCATGCTACACCCTCACAGCTCGCAGCATTTTTTTGCAAGGACTAAAAGTACTCTTCCTAAAGTGCCTGGCAAGTCCAAGCATTTAATGGTGGACATTTTGTTATACATGAATCATTGCAATAAACATAAAATTAGCTATAGGGCTAGAAAATAGCCTAGGATTTTTTTCAAAGTTAACAGTTTAATATCCACCATACTAATAATCTAGTATTTTTATAACTGCAAAATAGTCTAAATAAATAAATGTATTTCCACTGTGGAAAGATAATGAACACCAAAGAAATACCGTTTAAAATTAGGAAGTCTTCTTCATTCATTATCTACCAAGATTTGGCCCCCAAAACTCTATCCTTCCTAAAGAATAAGTTTGGTGGTCGTTATGACTTAGTTCCTTAAATCTGGGAACCCAATATGCTGGGTGTGAATGTACTGGCTTAATTTTAGGGTTCAGTTTGTTAAGCAGGAAAGGAAAAACAAGAAAGACAATGTTACCGCCTGTGCCATCTCCGTTGGTGAAGTCTCCTCCTTGAATCATGAAATCTTTGATGACGCGATGAAATTTGCTTCCTTTATATCCATATCCTTTCTAAAGAGATTATGTCAATTGAATACACAAGTAGATATAACCCACACTGAAAGATAAACCCCAGTGTTTATCTGGAAATGACAAAATGAGAAAATTATACAAAATACCTACAGACCTTGATGAGGTCCCTGCAATGATTTACCGTTAGAAATGTACCGTTAACCGACCAAATCAATACATAAGTAGACTGACAAACTATGGAAATATTAATGTGAAAGAGTGAAAACAGAGCAATCTGCATTTTCACTTGACAATTGTTTCCTCTTGATTTCCAGAAGCCTAGGCCACCGAGGGCCTGAAGAACACAGATTTTATACAAAAATGAAGTAAACTATTATAAGATGTCTCAGGTCCATCTGACCTACTAATTTTTTTCCCCAGAAACCATCTTTATCTTAGCTTAGAAGGATGATCTGATCTATGCACAAAGGAGACAGAGCTGAGACATACCTCTCCTGTTGCCAAAGCAACAAAATTTTCCACAGTCTTGGGCACAACTTTTCCAAAGAGGCCGATCACAATTCTGCCAACGTCTTTGTCTCCAATCCTCACATCAAAGAAAACCTGCATGTGGTTGAAAGAGCACAAGGTTACGTGGAAAAGCCACAGACACAAGGTAAGTGAAAGTGAAAATCTGTGAATTGATCCACAGACGAAAGCCCTGCCCGCCAGTATTTCACAAAGGGGTCACGAAGGAGCATAACATAAGTTAAAGGAACTTTTAATTCCTTTTTGTGGGTGCATTTCACTCACAAATATTCATTCAACAAACATTTATGGAACACCACCTATGGGCCAGAGACTGTGGTAAGTACTGGATTTAAAGTCTGACTCAATACTGTCAGCCAGCCAGTGGCGTCTTCGGAATTCCACGCCTCCACACACCCCGACCAGCTCGGCTGCCCCTTCCCATTCCCCACAGTACGGATGAAGGTTAGCGAGGAAACTGTCTCTTCTGAAAGGTAACTCTCTAGTCTTGGCAGAAGAAAAAAAAATGCTGGTGAGGAGATAAATAGGCTAGCCATTCAGATTTATTTTTTTGTAACTTCAAAAAGGGTCAAATTCCCAGTGAGATCTCATTAGATGTATGTGGTCAAGGGGACTGCAAAAGATGATCAAAATGATCAGTCCCCAAAGGCCTGCCCCTTACTCCCAAGCATAGTGAGGCACCAGGTCCCCAGCCTCATTCAAAGTACAGCAAACGTTACACTCAGGTCCTGACAAAACCGTTCCCCGTACGCTGAAGTGCTGAATTCAGTCCTCAGGCTGCGCAAGTAACACGTGTTCTTTTTCTGTCACAACATTTTAGGACAGAAGAGAAAACACATCTCCCGAAGGGAGTGGGAGTCGCTTTTTTGCAGATAAACTTTAAAAGTTGTCTTGGACTTTTTTGGGGAAAAAACAAACTTTTCATCTGAAATGAAATCATACATTTCGCTTCACAAGTCACCATGTGAGGATGATTTTGAGACAGAACGCCTGAAAAGGCCATGGAGTCGAAGGGCATTCTATTAGCGAGTTTAGATTATATGAACGAATTTAATGTTTGAATGGGTAAAAGAAGACATTCAAAGGAAGGCTTTAGAAAGTGTAAGAAGGGTTGTCAAAGAAAAAAGATGTCTTGCAGTTTAGGAAAATCGCCAAGTAAAGACTGTCTACCTTCAGAGCTTCTGCCAATACATCAGCCCGTCTGTCACGAGTGACGTGATATTTAGTGTTCCATGTGGCGTTTTACAGTTTTTACATGGCAGCGAAAACTGTGTTCGTATTTATCCAGTAGAACTATACGGAATGCAGAAGAGACCCTGAGAGGAGGCGGTGCCGTAAAAGAGCAACGCTACCTGGTCGGAACGCACATGTGTGAGCCTGGTCCCAGAGCTGGTGTCAAAGAGAAGCCGCTTCTCCCTGGCCAGTGAGCTCAGTGGTTAGAGCATCAGCCCTTGCACCGAAGGGTCGCAGGTTCAATTCTTGGTCAAGGACACACACCTGGGTTATGGGTTTGATCCCTGGCCCCAACTGGGGTGCATGCGGGAGTCAGCCAATCGATGTCTCTCACACTGATGTCTCTCTCTCTCTCTCCCTCCCTCTCTCCGCCGCTTCCCTCCCTTCCACTCTCTCTAAAAATCAATGGAAAAAAATATCCTTGGGTGAGGATTAAGAAAAAAAGAGAAAGAGAGAAGCCATTTTGCCAAAGGGATTTCCAAGCCAAGCAGTAAATTCTATAACAGGCAACAATGAAGCAGCACCAGGAAGAATCAGGGAGGTCCTTTTAAAGAAATACAATAGCCCTGGCTGGTTTGGCTCCAGGGTTAAAGCGTTAGCCTGGGGACCAATGAGTCTCGGGTTCGATTCCAGTCAAGGACATGTACCTCGGTTGCAGTTCTTCCCTGGCCTTTGTTGAGGTCGTGCGGGAGGCAACCACTCGATGTGTCCCTTCACACTGACGTTTCTCTCTCTCTCTCTCTTCCTCTCTCTCCCTCCCACTCTACCGGAACAAAAGTGGAAAAGTTCCTTGGGTGAGGATAAAAAAATAAACACCGAATAAGATACTAGAAAAGCTTGCTGGCCTTTTACAATAAAGACGAGCAAATAGAACCCCTGAATATGTAGAAAGCAAAGAGAATAAAATCTGGGAAGCATGAGAAGATGGAGAGAAGTGCCCGTCACCCAGCATAACTAAAGAAATAAACAAACTTATTTCCCTTCATATGGCCTAGCACACAGGTTAATACGATTTTTTCCTCAAACGGTGGTATCCTTTAACCTCATGAGTGATGGACAGCAAGAAAATATAGCAGAGTTTTCCCAACACTAAGGAAACGGAAAAACCTTATTTAGTCAGCAAGCATTTATCAAAGATCTATGTCAAAGGCAGTGTGAAGTTACAAGACAGTCCCTGTCATGCGGTAGCTTGAATCAAGAGATGGACAAAGAGGAAACCACAGAACAAGGCAGCAGGTGACAAGCACCCAAGAGCACTATCCCCAGGCATCCTGGAGGTGCAGGTGGGAGGGAGCAGCGCCCAGGGACACGAGTGGGCCCCAGCCCCACCTGCAGAGCTCTTTCTGGAACCAAAGCACCAAGGAAGGAAATGTGGTCCGTATGCCAGAGAAACAGCATAGCCCTTCTGACCTACCAGCTGGGAAGGGAGACCCTCACCAGTCCCAGAAGGCAGAAGGGTTTGGGGGAGGCAACAGAGAGAAGGTAAAGAATAAGACCCAAAGGAGACTTTGGGAACATTACTCAAGTGGGGGACAGGGGAAGGAGAATCTGGGGGCTCAGGCCAGTTCAAGAATGAGGTGCTATGTCCTGCACTGGGGTGGTGGCTGAGGGACCGCAAGGACGGACGAGAGGGCCGAGGCACTGAAATCGCGGGGGAGAAACTGGAGGAAGAAGGAGGAAGGAGGAAGGAAGAAAACATGACCATGTCAGTGGTGTCTCAAAGCGCTTTACTTACATCTTGTATCATTAATCCTCGCCACATCCTGCGGGAAGAGGCAGGTACTATTCCCATCCGTTTGCAAAGGAGAAAAGTGAGGATTAGGGAGGTTAAGTGACTTTCGAACCAGGAGCGTGAAAGCCAAAATTTCAGTCCGAGGCTGCGTCCAATTAGACCACGATTTATCGTTAATAAGGCTCTCTCAACCTAGGCAGGAACCCCTAACTGGTAGAAAAGGTCTTCTTAGGTCCCGAGGGCCCAGCACATTGTCAGCTCAACTACAGACTTTAAAATGCTAACCAGCTCAATGCCAGGAGATACTAAATGAGAACCAGGGCACACACACCTAGCCAGAGTGAAGGTGGGCCCAAGGTGGCTGCCAGGCAAACCTCTTACTTTACACCTTCTCGCCCTGAGATAGATCATCTCTGACTTTGCCCTTGGGGACAGGACAAGGGGGGTGGGAACTGGAAAGCCCCTATACTCACGGAGCTTACAGTCCCTTAGAACAAAAACAACATACTGGTAGCTGTAATCTAATGGGCAACCAGGTTTTACGAGACAAGTTCAGATAAAATGGGTTCGAGGTGGTGATTATGTGGGGGCTCAGGGCAGGCTTCCTGGAAATGGTGCTTGGATCCCATGTTATGCATCAGGAATGAGTCCCTCGGTCACTTCTTGTTTTCCCTCAAAGCTGCCCTTGAAAGTGATTTGAAAATGATGGGACCCTGGAGGTGGGAAAGGTAGGGGGAGAGTGAAGAGGCACTCGTGCAGCGTGACCCAAACCCCTTTAGGGTTAATCCTGCTTCCATTTCCAAAGTAAAATGAGCTGTGGTGTCAAGGAAACGCAGCTCCCCCACGAGCTCTGAGCGGGCATGCTCATCTGTGAACCAGATGCTTCCTTTCAGGTCTGCACTGCTGCAGAGGGGCGCATAACACAAACAGCTCGAACAATTGACCTCTTAAACCAGGAACTTAAACCAGAGCGAAGCACTTTACCTGCTTTATCACATCCACTATGCATTTCACACAGGAGGGATGGAGCCTGAGACATGAGATAACCTGCCCGAGATCAAGATCACCCAGCCTCAGTCTCGTGGCCGCTCCACACTGTGGAAAGTGCCAGCAAGCTGTGAAGAGCCCAGCTGGAAAGGTGGCAGCATTATTTTCTACACTCTAGGTGCCTGACCACACAGAACCCACAGCTCTCCTGGAAAATGCAGGGCTGCAGGCACAAGTTCAGTGGATTCTGAGACCGGTGAGCCAGAGTCCACACCGGAGCCTCTCTGGCGGGGCAGGAAGCTGAGGCAGAGGCCTGGCTGCAGGATCCATGGATAAGGGGAGTGCCACTCAAGGGCCCTGCAGGGAGACAGCACCCCACTCCTCCTTTACAGATTCCTATTTTTAGAAGGCAGAGGAAAAGGAAAAGACTGCTAGGAAAAAGAAAACACTAGAGCAGTGGCCAATTAATCTACTTTTCCACACTCAGAGAAATAACTTCGAACGTCTCCATTTTCCAGTACATTTTGTTATTTAAAAAAGTTCACTGAGCCCTGGCCAGTTTGGCTCAGCGGTTAGAGTGTCGGCCTGTGGTCCGGAGAGACCCGGGTTCGGTTCCTGCTAAGGGCACGTACTTCGGTTGCAGTTTGTCCCCGGCCCTGGTTGGTCGTGCGGGTGGCAGCCACTCGATGTGTCCCTTTCACGTCGATGTTTCTCTCTCTCTCTCTCTCTTCCTCTCTCTCCCTCCCACTCTATCTGTACAAAAGATGGAAAAATGTCCTCGGGTGAGGATTAAAAAAAAAAAAGTTCACTGAAAGAGTATCAACAGAGTCGAATCTGCAGAGACTTGCCTACATAATCCGAGAGTAGAAGCCATGGAAACTCCTCAGGGACAGCACCTTCACGCAGGGGCCGAGATGCTCCAACTCTTCCCCTCCCGCAGCCAGCAGCTTCCCATTTCTTGGCTCCCTCTTCCAGAGGTTCCCAACCCAGGCTGCACACCCCAGAGACAGTGAATGACTTGCTCCGGGGTGGGTCTTTGCATTGGTAGGTTTAAAACTTCCTAGGTGAAGCTTGTTCCCAAATATTGCAGGTGACATCCTCACTAAGAAATTCTTCACTGTTTATCTGAAATTCACGTCTAACTGGGCCTCCTATATTTTATCTGGCAATTCTAATACCTCCCCCTATTTAAACTGTCAGCAAGTCTTGTTATACCTCCAAAATTTATTGCAAGTGCCTCCCTTGCTCCCCATTTCCCCCGATTACCACCCTAATCCAAGCCACCACCATCTGGACTCTGGCATGGAGCCCAGCATGACCTCCCAGTTAGTTCATTCTCCACTGCGTGACCACAGTAATTGTTTAAAAGTATATATGAGATCCTGTCAAACCCATGCTTAAAACCCTTCGGCAGTTCTAACTGCACTTGGAATAAGACCTCAAATTATGAGAGTAATTGCCTCAAAACCCACCCTCCTAACTGTGACCTGAGGCCCTGCTGATCTTGTGGCTGCCCAGCCCCCAACCTCATCTCAAGCCACTCCCCTCTCATCCCTGCACTGAAGCCACACTGTCCCAGGCAATCCCTCCCCTTAACAGCGGAGGATGGTTCTCCCGCCCAGAGGCCTCTGCTCATGCACTAAGTTTGCCTCCCTAAGTTTTTAGCAGGCTGTTTTTTCGTATCCTTCAGGTATTTTAAATGCCACGCAATCAACATTAGGATTTATTTCCTTCATCATTTCACGAGTTTTATGATTATGGCTGTATCTGAAGAGACCCAAATATATTTGCAGAGTGGAAGAAGCCCGCCTCCCCCTCTTTCAGCTCTGTGGCCTGCAAACGCCATTACCCAAAACTAGATAAGCCCAAAAGGTCAAGGGGCTGGGAGTAGAATCAGTGCTCAGAACAATGAGGCCAAGTTTGTATCACACAGGCAGCCTCCCATGGCCTTTTGGTTCACTCCAGCTCCATCAGACATTGGGCTTAACCTCCCCCTCCCAACCCCCCTGAGTCCCCCCTTCTCAGGTGGGGGTCTATGGTAGATTTAAGCATTCTACTAGGTCCACATTCTACTAGTTTCCACTGCTGGTTGTTAAGACCTTTTGAGCTGCCCCTCCTTCCACATTCCAAGACACTCCTGCCAGTAAGTTTTTCTAACAGTGGTAATTAACAAATAACCAAATCATTTCCTCTTCCCTCCCTTGCTCCCTCCCTCCCTCCGTCTTTCCCTGCACCCTGCCATTATCTTCTAACCCTGGGTAAATATGCTGGGAAAAGAACCGAAGCCCTAAGAATGGCAGGTTTGTTTCTTCCTTAATCGAGACCAAAGGCTGGCTTCAGTTATACAGGTGCCGCCTGTGCCTGCCGCCAGCACCATCCCACGTGGAGTCTGCCCGCCAGCCGCTGAGTCTGAAAGCGCACCTCCCTCCCAGGGGAGGGCCAGGTTCCTAAATAGAGACCGGCCTCTCCTCGAGCGGGGCTGTAACGCCTGCAGGGCACCACCGGACGCAGGGGCTGGACCTGGACTCTCCCACGCGGTGACACGGCGGCCCAGCTGCAATCCCTGGGCTCGGAGCGTGTCCCCTCCTCCTGTCCCGGTCCCTCCCGCATTCTTCCTGCTTCTGTTCCCGAGTGAGTCCCCACGACGCCGAGGGAAGTACTCGGGCTGTCTCCTTCCCGGAGAAAGGGCCCGCCGGTTCCGGAAGTTTCTCCTAACCCCTGAGCTAGTCACCTCGGACCACCACCGACCAGGGAGATTAAATTCAAATAATGGCGAGGCTGGGACTCGGGCCATCGCCCCCCAAGTCATCCCGGGGGGGCGTCACCACCACCACCATCACCACCGTGGAACCAGAGATCCCCTCTCCCCAGCTCTGCCGCTGCCCCCCACCCTCTGCCTCCTCCTGGCTGCCCGCCACTGAAGTCCCAGTCCCCAAAGCTCCCCCATCCCTCTGGCCGGCAGGAGGGTAAGTGGCACCCTCCACTCTGTCACCTTGGCTGTCACCGTGGGGCCTCGCCTGCGGACGCCCGAGGCCCCCGCAGAAATCACGAGCACGCCCAGCCCCAGGCGAAGCACCAGAGGTAGAAGCGGCCGGGAACCCGAACCCATGGTGAACGGTGGCAGTGGCGACAGCCGCTCCAGTGCTTCTGCAGGCTCCCGACCGGTGGCAGGACTCCCGGCCAGCTGCGCCTGCGCGCTCCGGGGTGGGGTGGGGTGGGGGTGGGGGTGGGCAGGGATAGGGATGGGACGGTCTGGGCAGGACCGGAACAGGGGGCTCGCTCCTCCCAAGTTTGGCGGACAGAACTCGGGACTCCAGAGGCTCGCTGCAGGGGTGCAGCCCGGCGGCGCTCGCAGTTGGAGCTCCGGCCCGTAGGCCCGAGCGAGCCCCGCCTGCTGTGCCCGAGGTGCCCGGAGAGGCAGGCTTGGCTGGAGTCAGGAGCTGAGAGGTGCGCCTGGCATCAGGAACTTACCGCGTAGGCGCATGTTAGAGCCAACGGCAAGTCGAGGGCTCTGCGGGCTCTGGTCTGCGTGGCAGTTTGAGCACCGCTGGGCGGGGATACTCCGCGGACGAGTCCCCGAACGGTCTCCGCGGCCGCTGCCAGGTTCCAGTGTTGTATCAGAGCCGACTCTCTGAAATGTGGGACTCCTAGATGGGCTGACTCGATTACACGTGATGGATGACCTCGCGTTCCGATGATTCAATTTGGGGATATAATTTTTACAAATTTAAGAATGATGTTTAGAAAGATTGTGTAATGATATGGGAAAATGCAAAAATCACATCAACATTCTGATCTCAACTGTGAAATAAAGGGATTTTTTTCAGTGGAAAGAAATGCACCAAAACATTTACAGTAACTAGGGTGATAGAATTATGGATTTTTGTTTTCTTTGTAATTTTCTGGTTTCCCAGCTATAAGTATTTTATAATCAAGTAAGTATATTTTTTTTAGTTTTTATTGATGGATTGATGAGAGTTGTTGTTCCACTTATTTATGCATTCATTGGTTGCTTTTGTATGTGCCTGACCAGTGATTGAACCGACAACCTTGGTGTATCTGGCCGATGCTCTAACCAACTGAGCTACCCAGCCAGAACAAGAAAATGAAAGTATTTTATAATCAAGAAAATATTACTTAAAACGATGCTTTTTTGCCCTGGCCAGGTGGCTCAGTTGATTGGAGCATCCTCCCCTACACCAAAAGTTTGCTGGTTCCATTCCTGGTCAGGGCACAAACCTAGGTTGCAGGTTCAATCCCCTGTCAGGTGCATTTGGGAGGCAACTGATGGATGTTTCTGTTTCTTTCTCTCTCCCCCCCCCTTCCTTCCTCATCCTCTAAAAATCATTGAAAATATATCCTAGGGTAAGGATTAAAAAACAAAAAAATAACTAAATGCTTTTTAAATTAAGACTTCAAGAGAACTTTTTTATTTTAGAATAATAGCTCCAAAATTAATTACAAATTAGTAATAGTATTCTCTTGGTTTTCCTAGGAGCTAGTGCCATGACTTTCAAGCAAAGATTTTCTTCAGGTAAGCAGATAGGATTCCTATGTGTAGCTAAGACTAGATCTAAAATTACATTGGCAATATTATATTCAAAAGGAGTAACCTCAACTTTTGAGGGATGGACAGAACAGTTCTGAATTATTTGGATAATTCAGCCCCATGAAGGATCTAGTGTCTATAGTCATCATCATAAAACCCAACAAAGAGTCCCCCTTTTGTAGCAAGCTAAGGGTGTCAGAGCATGTATCCCACACTGTGATTGTACGTATTTACCTGTATTCATTATTTTAATCATTTTCGTCTTTCTCCTATCAAAGTTCAATAATAACTCTAAGACTTATTTATTCCTATTGATGATCCAGATTTAGTAAAATGCCTGATCTATAGTGATTTCTAGATAAATATTTGTTGAATGAATGCAAATATCTGTCTAGCTAATTTTTTAAAATTTTAATTAAGAAGATTGATAACAATAAAATGCACAAAATGTAAATGTACATATCAATGAATTACCACAAACACAACTAGAACCCCCGCTTAAGAAATGAAATATTTGTCAGCTGTTTAGAAATTTCTCTTGTACCCCCTCCCAATTACTAACACTCTTTTCTCCTCAAATTAACTGCAATCATGGCTTCTTACACTATAGTTTATATGAACGGAATCTTATATTATGCTATATTCCTTTGCTCAAATTTATGTCTGTGAAATTCATGGGCTTTTTACAGGTAACTCTTTTGGTACATAAGTTGTTTGTCCCTACAAATATCCAACTGTCCCAGCACAGTCTTCTTTCCTCACTACCTGTAATGAGACTTCTTTTGTAGAACAAGTGTCCATACATGTGTGGGTCCATGGGCCCTCTATTCTGTATCACTGATTTGTCTATCTTTGTGCCAACCCTACATTGTCTTAATGAAAATAGCTTTAGGATAAGTCTTCATATTTAATGGTACAGGTCCTCTCACTTAGTTCAACGGGTTTTTGGTTGTTCTTGACCTCCTGTATAAACTTGGAATCAGCTTGTTACTTTCTATAAATTACAATGTTGATTGGGATAGCATTGTATCTATAGACTATTTTGGAAAGACAGTGTATTTGTGATATTGAGTCTTCCAATTCATGAACATGAAATCGTCCTCCATTTATTTGGGTCTTCTTTAATTTCTCTTAACATGTTAGAGTTGTCTGCCTAGAGGTCTTACACATATTTGTGAGATTGATTTCAAGGTGTTTTTGTGTGTATATGTTTTTATAAATTATAATTTAAAAAATTAATTTACTGTTTGTTGCAATTTTTTTCTTTATTGATTTTTATAGAGAGAAGGAGAGGGAAAGAGAGATAGAAACATCAATGAGAGAACATTGATTGGCCACCTCCTGCATGCCCCCAGTGGGGATCGGGCCTACAACTTGGGCATGTGCCCTAACCTGGAATCAAACCAGCAACCTCTTGGTGATGGGTCGACACTCAACCACTGAACCACACCGGCCAGGCTGTTTGTTGCTATTTTATGGTAGTAAAATTAATTTTGTATATTAATCTTGAATCGAGAAACTTTGTTTAAAACGTATTCTAATGCTTTATCTGTTAATTTTTTGGATTTTCTACATAACCAACTATATATTCCATGAATAATGAGTTTTATTTCTTCCTTGTTTTGTGGGTTAAATGTTGTCCCCCAAAAAGATATGTTGAAATCCTAAACCTCAGCATCTGTGAATGTGGCCTTATTTGGAAATAGGATCTTTACAGATATAGTCAAGTTGAGATGAGATCATATTGGAGTAAGGTGTGTTTTTATTAAAAGATGACAGACCAAGACACACAGAGAAGGAAACATGGGAAGATGAAGACAGATTGGAGTGATGTGTCCTCAAACCGAGGGATGCCAAAGATTGCTGGCAACCACCAGAAGCTACAAAGAGGAGAGGCAGGATCCTTCCTTAAAGCCTTCAGAGAGAACATGATGCCAACACCTTGACTTCCTACTTTTAGCCTCCAGAACTGTGAGACAATACATTTCTGTTTTTGTTTTGTTTTTTTATCCTCACCTGAGGACATTTTTTTCCATTTTTTGTTCAGATAGAGTGGGACGGAGAAAGAAAGAGAAACATCGATGTGAAAGGGACACATTGAGTGGCTGCCACCCGCACGACCAACCAGGGCCAGGGACAAACTGCAACCGAGGTACGTGCCCTTAGCGGAAACCGAACCCGGGTCTCTCAGGATCGCAGGCCGATGCTCTAACCGCTGAGCCAAACTGGCCAGGGCTCATCAGGCTTCTTGACTGTGACTCAATGCCTTTCACCAATTTTGTAAAATTCTCAGTCATTTACTCCTCAAAAGTCCCTTATAATCAATGTCACTACTAAATACAGTTACTTTCATTTGTGTGCATTCTTTTATAGCCTCTCTCACATGTTTTAAGAAAGTATTTGAAGTGGTATAATCATAGTGTAAAATTTTTCAATTAAAATTGGTGATAAAATATAAAACTAAATGTTAAATGTATGCAAATGTATTGCATGTATGAATTATAAAAACGTTTAGGTAATTTGTTGACAGTTATCTTGTGTAATATCAAAATAAACAAGGGAGATATAATGTTTTAGTAGCTTACTTCTTTTGTTGTTGTAGTTTTGATTTATTACAAAGAAAGACTGTTTTACTTATTAATGATTCATGAGTATAGTCTTATCATATTTTTCTCCTAGTTATCAGAGCAAGTAGATTTCTGCTACTTGTAAAATTATTCTGGCTCGCATAGCTTCATTTCAGTGTCTTTCAAAAGCTTGATTTTTTTGTCCATTGTTAATTTTTTCCCTCATGTAAATAGCATCTTAGTTGAGTCAAATACTGCCTTCCCCTCAAACTACAATGCAACAAGCACAGATACTTGTGTTACATTAAGTTCATGGTTAGCAAATAAATGCCCACCCACGGCTTTTATTCATTACTAGCTGTTTGAATGGTGAGTTTTCCCCTGGAAGTTTCTTTCAGTTAGGATCTGGAAAGCGTGCAGTAACCTCAGAGCATCAGGAGTCACTTAGAGCTAAGACTTGGGATGGGTTGAAATTACTGGGACTTTCATATTGTCCTTGTCTTTAAAATGCTCAGCAAGTTTTTCTGGAGCTAGTCACTTACCCAAATATTCTCCCCTTCATGGGATGCCCCTGCCAAACTTTCAGTGACAAAATCTTCAAGGAATTAAAAAGTAATCTTGCTTTTATTTGCCCACCTAGACAAAACTAGCCCACACTCTTAATGAGAGATGATGACCCTGTTCTCACCCTCCCTGAGCTCCTTCACCAACCAGAATGGCCTCACTGACATTTGTGGACCCCACGCTGGGCACTGGGCTACAAAAATGAAGATGTGAAGATACGTGGTTCCTGTCCCCAAGGAAGAGTCAAAGGTAGGATGCGTACAAGAAAAAAGTTTAAACTCTGTCCAATAACATCTGTTGCATCTAAGCCAATGGCCAGAGGGTATGGCGTGGGAGACTCAGCTCCCTGAGAAAGGTTCCAGAAGGGAAATCTAACCTTCACTGCATTCCTACCACATCCAAGGCAACTTCATACAATGTTTCCTTTACACCTGTGAGGTAGGTATTATTAGACACATAAAACTGAGGAATGGGGG